GAGTAGTAGAACTCATATTGCACTTAAGAAATATAAAATCATGTTTATTTTATATATAAACATAAGTGTCTCAAACTTTCTGGCAAGTAGTTTCATTCTGAAATAACCTTATTCTATTTTATTCAACATTTGTATAGCCATAGTATGTAAAACTCCATTTTTGGAAAATGGCACAATTAATCCAAGAGAGGACATATTTCAGCATAATATGGTGGTACGTTTTAACTGTAACGAAGGATTCACAAGAGTTGGCTCTGAATCTGCACAATGTTATCACTTTGGATGGTCTCCACAACCTCCAATATGTAAAGGTAAAAATAGGCAATTTAAGAATTCTTACTGTATTTGAGGCGGGAACAGGGAAATTAGGAGCAGATTTTTCTAAAAGTATGTTTTGTTTTCTAGAGGAAAGCTAATCAGTGGCCAGTAAACAGATTTCTCTTAGCAGGATGCATTGAATGGGACTCTCACATCTTCATTTATATATATGCAACATACAGCAGAACTGTATTCTTAAATTGTGAATAGAAAATGTTTATATGAATAGTAATATTGTTTTTCAGGTTTTTTATATATTTTTGAGGCAACAGGATTATTTCTTTTTGCTCTTTCCTTTCTAAATGGATTTCATCACTTGGAAACCTGACATTTATATTAATAGGACTTTTGAGTGTACTTTTAACATAACCAAGCACAAAAAGAAGTCAGATAGCAGAATTACAAATCTATTGTAATATTAAACCAACCACCTACTGTGTTTCCCCCAAAATAAGACAGGGTCTTATATTTTTTGGACTGGCAGAAAAGGCACCAGGTCTTAGTTTCTGAGAGGTCTTATATTTTTCCCTATTTTTCCCCAACTGGGAAAGTTGGGGGCAGAGAGCTTCCCCTCCTGCTTAGTGCCTCCATGGCTTCACTAAACAGCTGATCTGCACTGCTTTCAGTACCTGAACATCCTCCGCAAAACAGATGATCTGAACCTGCATGTCTTGTCTAAATAGCATTTTCCTGCCAAGCCTTCAGTGTTGCAATCCCTGGATATGCTGAAGGCTTGAGGGGGAGCCTTTTTAGTGATTGGCAGGAAAGTGGTCCTCCTTTTCTTAAGCTCAGCACAGACTGAGAAAAAGAGGCAATGGTGGGATGCTGCCAGTGTAACAACCAGTTCAGTGACCGTGCAATTCCCAGGACTGCAACGCTAAATGCTTGGCAGGAAAATGGGGAGGGAGGTTTTCCCACCTGTCCTCCTTTTCTCAGTCTGTGATGAGCTTAAGAAAAGGCTTTATGCATCTTTTTGAGAGTAAAGGAGGAAATGAGTAACAGATAACAACAGTAGACACAAAAATCTACTTATTTATGTTTTTAAAGTTATTTCTAATATATATTTTTGGACACCAGATCTATATTGACATTTTAAACAAACATTATCTACTACTGTTTCACTGCTTTGGTTCCTGAGGCTGTTGTAATAGTTGCAATAGATATAAAAATAATAATATTCAAGCATATCAGCCTGGGATTTGAGTAAACACTCAAAATAAAAGTGATATTCTCTTTTTTCTAGAAAATGTTAAACCTTGTCCGGCATTACCCATCATTTCACATGGCAGAGTTACTGGTGAATCTAAAGCAGTATTTCAGCATGGTGATCTATTGGAAGTTCATTGTGAGATCTCATTTGCACTATATGGATCAAAAATCATAGAGTGTGTGGATGGTGAATGGGCACCCTTACCCTCATGCGTAGGTAAGCAGCAGCTGCCTGAAAAATGTGTTCACAAAAAGAAATATGAGCAGACAGACTTGTAAATGTAACATGGTAGTTTCTTGCACTTATCTGGTGGAGGGGAGGGGGTTGTTGCATGGTGTGTAAACTGGAATCTTCCTTCATAACAGAGTCCAATACATTATTAGTAGAGAGTGGAAGGGGTGAGATTACTTTGCAGTGTTTAAGTAATAAAGTTATAGAGAAATCAATGTATTCTGATTTATCCTAATAATCTCATGAGTCATGAATATATTCCTGTGCTTAGTGCTAATACCTGAGTCTTTGTTGCTTGCAACAGGAAGTAAAAATTGAGAACTGTCCTTCTCTTTGTAGCATTTCCATGGCTCCATCAGAACAAATGGTAGAATAAGACATTGCTAGAGATAACATATTCGGAAAATTTGGAACAAAGTATTGGAAATAAAATTAATGTGAGCTTAATGTAGCTTCTGTAAATGGTTCACCAATTCATGTTAAAAATACCATTACAGGTTTTGAGACTTGCAAATTTTGCAATATTGCAAATTAAATAATAACTTGACAAAAAATTGCAGCAAGTAATTCAAATACTTAGCAATTAAAATATTTAAGTCATGGTAATCAAGTACAAATTGAGAGTTAGCTGGAATGTGGATGTTCCTAGGTATTTGCCTCCTTCGTTTGACCAGAACTTTCTGTCAGAGATATTAAAGGCCTTTAACAGAACTGAAAAAAATGAAAACAGTCTCTATATTATTTTTATTGGTTGATTGATTAATAATGGAGTTACAATGGGTATATGAAACAGAGGGGCAAATTGTTTGAAGAAGCTAAACTATTAATACCTT